TATTGGATAATAAATCCACTTAGTAGGATTTGCAAGTCTCCCAAAAATTAATGAGTAATAAATATTATAAATAATTAAATATTTATAAAGTGTTTGGGATGATTTAAATAGGGATTTTTACCAGCTGGTAATAGGGACAAAATCAGTATAAAAAAATATAACAGGATTTCTTAGTGCATGAGATAGAAACTCAGGATCTAATGAGTAATGATTTAATTATTGGGACTGACTGATAAAAATCCCATTAAAGTAATAGCCCAATTTACTTTTTCATTAATTTTTTTTTCTATTTTCTTTTAGAATTGTAGGTGGGCCGGTAGATGGGCCAGTGGATCAACAAGTTGAGCTTCAACACGTAGGCCCAAATCCATGCATCCCAAGCATTGTTTAGGGTAGCCCAACCCGTCCAAGGTAAAGGGATTGGGCGGGCAAGATAAAAGTCCAACAAGCTAACTAATCTTCTGTCAGGCCCAATAATGAGTAAGACAAAAGTTTCTTAAGAAACATGACTCACCCAATAGTTTTGGCCTAGCAAAATGTGAGGTTGATGTTATCACATTTTGATTGCGGTATGGAATAGAATGCTAATTCCACCAAATTTATGTTAATTCAACCAATTGCAAAATATGGATATAACCTCTCATATTTTGCTCCTCCTCTTTTTTTCTTTTTTCTTTATACTTTTTTTTTTTTTTTTTTTTTTTTGGTTGTGTAACAAGCTTGTACAATGGCACTCTTCTTGGCTGCCCCAATTCAATTGATTCATGTCGGCAAGAGTCAAGTCAAGCTATATGATTTTTTTAGAATTCAAGTTTTAAAACATAACTTCCCCACTTTGTCGGAACAAGAACCATATATACGAAATAAGATTTCAAATAAATCTACAAATATAAAAATCAATTATAGAACAAGATATAAAAAGTATATGAACAAATAAAATTTTTCAAAAATGAATCTCATTATTTTATAAAATTTTATTTATTTATATATATCCAGTATCTTGTAACCGATTACTGTATTGATAGCATAACTATAAGATTTATGACTAACCAACAACCTTGACCACCTTCCAAAAGCTTGATGTTGTTGAGCACTATACTTTGAGTCCTTGAACTTACCCACACTAGTCACTTGTTATCTATCCAACAATTCAACGAATAATATGACTCCTATCCATTTTAGCTACTGTGGTGGACACCCAATGTTCCTCCTCTTCAACCTCCTTGTTCATGCATGCTCCAAGAGACAAAGCAACAATTGGTCAAAAGGGAGTCAAAGAGAGATTTGAGTGGACAATATTAATTTTGTTACAAATCTAAAAAATTAACAACAAAAATAGACTCAAAATATATACAAATGAACACTACAACATATAAGAGTTTTAGAAACTAAATGTTTTGGCCTCTAAAAATGATAATTTTGTCGCAAAAGACATTTAAGGACTAATTTTCATTGTTGTGAGGATAGTTGCTAAAAGGTAGTCTTAAAAAGTCAAAAACAAGACTTTTAGTAACAAAATTTTAAAAATGTCACTAATAAATAGACTTTTAGGGACAAAATAATTTGGTCTCAAAATGGTTTATTTTTTGAGACAAAAAATTTGATCCCAAAAGGATAATAATTTATCACTAATGTCTAATTTTGGTTTCTAAAAAAATAATAACGACACTTTTTGTAACAAAAATATTTATTCCCTACAATCTTAATTTTTTGTAGTGGAATAAGATTTTATAAAAAATTTTAAGACGGTTCAATTTTTTTAAAAAAATATCTTATCGGTTCATATGACTTATTTTTGTGTTGATAAACTTATTTAAAAAATATATAAAAACAAATGACAGCAAGGTTAAGTTTGGCATAACCTAAATAATACAAAAAGTCAAAAAGTCACTATCCTATTTAAGTCACATCATCTTATTTAAATCACATCACCTCTCTAACACATCACATCAAACCCAATCCAAACCTAACCCATATAAGCCAATAAGTGCATTTGTTTAGAACATTCCAAACCAACCCTAAGTTTAAGTGGTTGATAAGCTCTTATCATATTTGGAGGAGTTAAGGGAGAGAGAACCCACATTGCCCCATCCTCTCTGACATTGTTTGTTTGGAGAGTTGGAGGAGAGATTGAGATTGATAGTGAGCTCCGAATTATGATGAGCCTCCCCAAAGGGATTCGGATGGATCTCCAAGACTTGGTATTAGAAAAATAGTCTACTAGATTAGAATTTTTTTTTTTATTTATTTTTTACATGTTGGGACATTAATGTTTAATTTTTTATATTTTTTGTTAAGTAAAAATCATTTTTTTATTTATTTTATTTTTTTCTAAATTTTTTTTTTTATTTTTAAAATTTTTTACATGTTAGGCATTGTTTTTTAAACATTAATGTTTAATATTTTTTTTTTATTTTTTTATTTGTTTTATTATTTTATATAGAAATAATTTAACAATTCTTACACTAACAACTATCATCAAAACAAACATAATTTTATTTCATCCCCTCATTATCAATTTTTTTCATTCTATTTCTGAAAACAAACTGTCCCTTGGTCGTGTTGTGGTCCATTAAAGCTGTCTTCTCCCTCTTAATCTCGAGGATGCAATGCATCTACCTTGTTTCCATTCCATTAAAAATTGATATGTATTGCTTTCCCCCACTTAATCATTCACTTCTGAATTGGCAACATCTTTTAGATTTTATGTGCCCATATATCTTGTGGGTTCCATGGGCTTTTTTTTTGTCGATGTGGGATTCGGCACAATAGTTTTTATTTTGTTTTTGTTTCTTAGTTTTTTGCACTTCAAAATTGACTCATTGTGATCCTTCGGTGTAATGTTCCCTCAATCTGTGTGGTTCCTAATTGTACCAACAAATCAAAGTTTTCACCATATTTTATTTGTTTAGTTATTTTGATAACTTAGTGTCGAGAGTAATTTAATTGTTACTTGATCTACATAAAAGTTGTTGTTATTACCGTGACATAAAATTTTGATATATTCCATTAAAGTCAAAGAAAACTCATATAATTATTTTATGTTTGGTTATGTTTTGGTTTCTACTTTTTGTATTTTCTAAAACAAAATAATAAGAAGTTCAAAAATTCCCATTATTTTATAGGAAAATCCTAAGGGTGTGTATCATATGCACCCTATCACAAATTGACATAATAAAAGATGTCGTAATCAAGTCACAAACTTTTGTTATATAAGCTGTAAAATTTTAGATATTTTGTTACACTAATTTGTGGCGAGATTACGTATTTTGTAATTGAAATTACAAAATTTTGTGGTAAAATTACACCATTTATGATAAGGTGCATGGAGTGTGTACTATAGGATTTTCCTATTTTATATCGTTTTCATTTTTTTTTATTTCAAAATTTTGAAAACAATAATGGGTTGTTTTCAAGAAATTTTTCCTAAAAAAAAATGTTTTCAGAAATATTCATCAAACAAATTTTTTATGTTAAAAAGAAATATATAAACAGAACAGAAACACAACCAAATAATCCCTTTGTGTTTGCCCTTGTCATATGAAAGATCAGTATTTTGTAAATGCAGAATTCCTTCCAACAGCCAAATGCATTATGAGTCTTTGTGATGGTGTTCGGATCAAGGTTTTCGAAGAAGAATTTGTGAAAGAAAATATAAAAAAAAAATGGGAAAAGTGAATAAATATAAGTTTTTCTTTTCTTTTCTTTTCTTTTTTCACTTTTTCTTTTCGCTTCACAAATCTTACTCAAATTCTTAATTCAAACATTGAACATTGTGGATAGACAAACCTGCTCTGCTTACTAACTTAAATATATTGTTATAAGTTGTTACATTATCTGCTAGAAATACCAAACCTTTTTATCGTTTGTGAATTGATTCTTCTAGTTTTTGGGTAAAAGATTAAGGGTTTTTTTTTTTTTAATTTAAATTCCATTTTCTTTAGTGTATGTGGCACTATCCATATCAGAAGCGTGAAATTCCTTCTTTTTTATTTTTATTTTCCTGTAATTTTTTTGATAATACTGTTAGGGAAAATCAATAATTTTCCACAAGTAAATCAATCAATGAGAATAAAAACTAATGCGGAAAAATTAAATAAAAAACAACACAATAATTTTTTCGTGTTTTCCTCAATGTGAGGTACGTTTACGATATCGAAATCCGATTCCACTTTCAAAAGTTTACAAACGGTTACAAACAAGATACGAATGGTCTCACAAAATCACCCTTATGTGAATTCCAAATAATCACAAATAAACAAGAGGAAAGACCTCACCAAATAGATAAATCAAAGTTTTCGAAACAGAATTGTAGAAGACCGAAAATAATATATCCAAATCAACACAGAACACCGAAGCAAAGCAGCAACCAAGGTATTGAATTTGACCAAGTCAAATACACTACAATAATCAACACCAATTGAAACCCATCAAATTGAATTTATCTTCTTTTTTTTTTTTTTTGCTGCTGCCGTTCACCTATACATCGGATTAACATAATAATATATCTCTATATTTTTAAATCTTGGACTTGTTTTAACAAAATCTTAGTTGTTCAAATTGGATTGAGTCTCCACAAATTAGATATAATAAGGAGATATACCCAACAAACACCAAATTGATTTTTTTCATTTTACAGACTTTTAGACTTGAAGTCTATAAAAAATTTAAAACATTGATATTATGTGAGGGAAAAAAATGCACAAAGAGACACCCCAAAAAAAAAAATCCCCGTAAAAACATCTAAAAATTTCTCGCACTCTGAATTGCACATGCAACAATATCAATTAAAGTCTAATCAAGTTAGATTATGTTTAATTATGCTTTGGACGATATGGGAAGCACTGAGTTTTTGAGCCACATGCTGTTTGGGCCCACTGAGTAAGTTGTTTGGTCACCAACCAGAACCATCCTCAAATCCAAAAATGAATGCCAAATCCACACAAACTCAAACTTAAATAAAAGGGCAAAAAAGAGATTATCAATTTATTAGTCTTGTATTAATAAGAATCAATCTCTCACATATCTGTAAAGGGTCCGTACAAGTATAAATTTGATTTGAAAATGAGATAGCTTAAGTGCACAAAAGAATTTCACGTGTTTCATTATGTGAAATTTTTATGTGCTTCTAATACAGTTATTTGAAAATTGTAAAGAATATAGGTAAATGATGCATCTTCAAGTGTTAAATGGCAGTGAGGAATAGCTGCCAAAAGTGAGGTCAAAAGGGCCCAGTTGAGTTGAAGCAAGTCCTTCACATCCTTTTTTCACAACTTTCTCTGCCTCATATGCTTTTGCCCTCTGCAACATAAAACATTCAAGCTCAGAGTTGGCTTAATCATTAAATCACTTAATTCGTTATCTAAGACTCACTAAGAAAATATTAAAAAATTATTCCTGTCCAATATTCCAATTTTTTAAAGATCCTATAAGATAAGGTTTTATTTTGATATTTGACTTGAAGTTTCGAAAAAAAATTTAATCTGCTATTGTTCAAGATCACTCATTAATTTATCCTTTTTTTTTTTTTTCATCCCATTGATTTTAAAGATGGAATTACTCCCGTGAAATACAAATAATGACACACAAATTATGTGAATCGGTAAGTCCAGTTTTTGTCATTAGTGACAATCAAACTTAAATTATTCGCATTTACATGACTCGTTCAACCATTGACCTAGGGCCATGCTACAGACCCCCAGTGGGGTGACCCCCACTGACGACCCCCAGTGACGTGTCGCACTGGGGTTGGCCGAAAATCCCAAAAAATCCAAAAAAAAAAAAAAAACAGTTTTTTTTGTCCAATGGGAGCTGACCCCAGCACCCCCAGCTGGGGGTCTCAGTCATTTTTCATTGACCTATCAATGTAGGTTTGTAAATAATTTACCCATACATCAGCTAAAACGCACAAGTACTAGGTTCTATAATTTATGAATGATGTATAAAGTGCAAATGTACTTTCAATTAGTACATATGCATATATAACGCTTTTATCCAAACATACATATTTGCCTTTTTCCGGCATTCTTAGTAGGTTGAATGCCATATTTACATATGTACACCCCCAAAAATACCATATTTACATATAATTCGTTAAATGTAACCCATTTTCGCAATTCAATCCTGTTTAATTTAAGATCAAGAAAATAATTGAGTGAATAAAGTTTTGTTAAAAACTGTGGTTTGTGCTTTGAAAAAGTCCTAAGCAATCACCTGCATTGCTTCCATGTCATCTGTCTCCGAGTTGAAGTCGTAGATTGTGCTTGCAGCAGTAAGTTTCATGGAAAGAAACTGTTGCAGAAAAAACATATGTTAGTAAATATCAGATATAATATTCTTCCTAATTCACCAAAAAAACATTTTTTTTATCGGTTTTAAACTTACCTCAACTTGGTTTTGCAACGATTGCACATAATTAATTATCTCATCCAGCATTACTGCCATGCCCATGGTCTGCACTTTCATTAAAACATAAATTTTCTTTCTTTTTTTTTTTTAAAGAAAAAAAATTAAAAACTATTTTTTTTTTCTTCAAAAGCATCCACTTACCTTGTAGCATCCTGGCACAATGTCTTGCAAACATTTCATTCTGTCATTTATATATTTATTGAATGAAAGCAAAAAAAAAAAACATGGGTACATAAATAAATTGAGAAAAGACTAGAAGAGTGGTTACATTTTTTGGCGTAATCAGGGGAGGACATGAGTTTCCAGAACTGCTTTCCGAAACATCCATTGCTTTTCTCTTCTTGCTTTCATGGAAATCATTCACACCCGAGACAACAACAGGCTCAGCAGCTGGCAACACATTATTGTCAATGTCATGGAAAATGCCTGGAAAATTTTCTGCCAAGTTTCCCGGGAATTCAAGGGGTGAAGAGAAATCCAAGAAAGTGTGGAAATTCAAGTTTTGATTTCCCAGAGCATTGAGCTCTGTGAAATGGTTCACTATTAGTTCCATGTTTGGATCAAAATCTAAGAAAGAGAATGAATTTTTGTTGTGGCTCTGCATATTTTATTTTCTGTGAATTCAAGTGACTGTTTGGATTACACAGGCGTGGAGCTAGTGCTTGTAGGAGTATATATAGAGACAATAGGATTACAATTATAAGTTTACATTCTTTATTTATTTTATTTGTACTTTAATTATTTTTTATTTTTTATTAAAGAGTGGAAAAGTGGGGCCACGTGGCAATTCTAGCTTCTGTGGTTGTGTTCCTAAGTGAACCATGTGAAGGAGATATATCCAATTCAATGGGCCCATAAGCCATTTGCCTTCACATTACAAGAAAACTTTTTTTTTTTTTTTTTTTGAGAAATAACAGATCAGTTGATGTTTCAAAAATAAATTACAAATTTAGTGAATTTTTTTTTATCAATATTAATAATAGAAATTTTAAACTTTTTTTATTATTATTTTATGTATTTGTAGTATTTTTTTTTTAAGTTGCCATTGGATGCTAATTTCTCCTTTTAAATTTTTTTTTTATACAGATTATACCAGTTGGTCTTGTAATTTGTTTATGATATTAATTTGGTCCTATATGTTCAATTGTATAAAGTTTTTAAAGATTTTTATATTGTGTGAATTTAGTTTAATTGATAAAATATGCAAAAATATTAAATAAAAATCAAGGATAAAATGGCCCAATTCAAAAAGGAATAAATTATTTTAAATTGGATGTCAACGTTTCAATCACATCCGTATAAGTAAATAGAGTATTTTACAATTTCAAACCAAATTCTAATAATGAGATGTTATCAATCGGAATAAATTGTGTGGCACCTCAAATACTGAATTAATATATCAACAATAATAATAAGAACAAAAGTAAATAAAATTTTTAATTTATAAATATATATGATAAAATGTATTTTAATTTAAAATTAGGATTGTACAATTATTATATTAACTAGTGTCAATATAGAATTAAGCAAACAATTTTGTAGATAAGCTTAAAAAAATAAAAATAAAAATAAAAAAATCAAATTAAAAAAAAAATCAAATCAAGTGATAAGGGAGCCGTAAGGATAAGCACGCAATTAAGGAAATGTGGTTACTTAGGGGCAAGTGACTTGAATCAAGGGGGCTGTGGGTCCTGGGAACAACTATAAAAGGTGCTTCGAATAAGAATAGAGCAAAGGAGGCGTGGTCAATAAGGGAATTTCGGTAAATGGAGAAGTTAATGTAAACGATTAATATTAAGATAAGTAATATTATATTTTGAGTTAACATAATATATTTTACATATGTTTCGAGTTATTATAATTTATTTCATGCGATATATGTTTTATAAATTATGTTAATATTTTGATTACGTTAATTATTTTATAAATTCTCTAATTGTTTAAATTGAAATCCATAAATATAATTGTTTAAATTTTAGAAATCATTTGACAATGATTAAAGAAATAAATATTTTTGTGAGTACCACCATGGGAGTTCTATACTTTGGAGAACTTAAATAACCATTAGTCTCTGATTGGTCACGTGGTGACTTTCTGTTTGTCATACATTTATTGACTTATGTTTTGATTGTCACTCCAATGACCTCTGTTCTGTATCGTGGTTATGGTTATTTATCTAAATAATTTCTAGATTTCAATTTGTGCCACTTAAATAATTTATTTATTCAAAAAATTATGTTTAATGTTTTAGCTTAAATAACTATCCATGGTTATTTTGAGCCCTACGCTCTTAACATAATATCTCTCACTCTGAGTGCTTATAATTGTTATCCCTTTTAAGTGATGAAATATAAAAAAAGATTGTAACCTCGTGTAGTAGGACCAGCACGAAATTTGATGCGAATTTTTTTTTCCTTTCTTTTTTTGTTATAGTTGTTCATCCCCAAATAATAAAATAATAAAAACTCGATGAGTGTATTTCCTTTTATTAAATTAGTAGGATAAGTAATAACTTTAATTATCTATTTAATAATTTCCTTACTTTCATTCCGCCTTCGCCTTCGCTTTCACCTTCGCCTTCGACTTCACCTTCACCTTCGCCTGCGCCACTTAAAATGTAAGATTAGAATTAATTAGCAAGTTACGATTCCATCCCTAAGCAACAAGGGTTGGGTCGTGACAAATTGACACAATATAAAAATTTTACAAATAAAATTGGTACAATTAGAATTATAAGGACCAAATTAACATAAAGAAAAACTACAAGAATTATACTTGTAGTTTTCCTTTTTCAATTTTTTAATTTTTAATTTTTAATTTTTTATGTTAGAGTGTTTGGTGCAATTATTACTTATGAGATAGAAAATTTTAAATAAATTGAAAAAAGTAATTATCTGAAAGTTAAAGAATAAGAACATTTAATTTGTACTTTCTTATTATCAACTTTCAAGTTGAGAAATTTTTTACTAAATAAACGTCTCTAAAATATTTATGAGAATAATGTTGATGCTTGGTTAATTATGTCATAATTGAGGCTAGTCTAGCCTAAGTTGTACTAGGAGTTGCACCTCATAGCCCAAGGTCTTCAACTTGAAATTAGCCTCAATCAGATAAATTGAATAGGGGGCACTTACGGACCAGTCCTATTAATCAAACTTATTTACTTACAAGTCCTATTCCTTTTTTCACCATCTTCAACACCCCAACCATAAGACCACTGCCACAGCCCGCTTACTAACAACAGCTACCTCCTGTCGCCGGCGACCGTCTCCGACCTTCATCTTTGGCCATCATTTCTGACTAACGGTGACCACCCACAAACCTCTGGTAATATTTCCCGATGAGATTTGTTCGGCCATTTTTAGCAAAAATAACATCACTACCTCCTAAGATCTGATGGCAAAAAAAGAAAAGAAGAAGGATAAGGAGAAGAAGAAGAAGAAGAAGAAGAAGAAGAAAAAGAAGGGTAGAGAGGAATAAGATGAAGAAGAAAAGGAAAATGACAGGCCTTACTAGAAAACATTTGCCTTCAGTCCAAGGTTCTGAAATGCGGTTGCGGTTGCCGTAACGGTGGCGGTGACGCGGTTGCGGTTGCGGTTGCGAGGTGTAAAGGCTGTAGTGTAACAGTTGCGGTAACCGGGACCGTGAATTTTTTTATTTTTCACACAATTTGAAAAAAATTTACCGATACACACATTTTTTTTCCATGATCATATTTATTGGGTTTTAAAATAAATATTGATCAATTTTTGTAAGTTTTTAAGTTTGATCCAATATATTTCATATTTTTAAATCACTATAAATTGAGTTTTTTACATCTTATTTTAATAATTAATAACTTTATATTATACAAGAAATCAATCACTAACTACTATATATAAGATAAATAATGACAAAAGTAAGATAATAAATAAAAGCTTAAATATATATATATATATTTTTTTTTAATCAAGCCAAATAGATAATGACCACACTTATTATTATTATTTTCAAACAATATATAGATAGACACACACAAACAAACAAAATGGTTGAGTGATAGCAGCTGAATACAATAGTATAGGTCTTATAGCTTCAACAAATCAATAACGTGTTCTTCATCTTCCTTTTCTCTCTCTCTATCTCTTGCTCCTCCATCTTCTCTCTTCTCTCTCTATCTCTCTTCCCCTATTTTCAAATTTTTTTTTTCATATTTTTTCGAAAGAAACAATTTGGAACCGTTATGTAACGGTGCGTAACAGGCTGTTACGGCGCCGTTACGACCGCTATAGCAGCCACTACGACCGACACACCTGTGAATCTCAATCATACTGCAAAAGCGGCCGTAATGGGTGGCGGCAACCACCACAACTGTTACGTAACGGCGTTACGTAATGGTTACGGCCGCTTTTTAAAACCTTGGTTGTAGATCAACACAATCATTCCCTTTGGCATCTACCCTCTATCCTCTTTCAGTGATAAAATTATGATTGATGAATTTGTTAAAAAAAATACAAATGGCCCATTTGATTTTAGAGAAAGAAAAAAGGGCATCACTCATCACTCAGTCACTATTTTTGCATACTCCTTTCATTGTCATTAACATAAAAAATAACCACGTACACACAAAAGAAATAACAAAATTTGGTCTGATAAATTTATAAATATACATTCAGTGATAAATTTATCACTTAGTGATTTGTAAAAAAATTACAAATGACACTCATTCACATTCACACATACACTTACTTACACACAAGACACTCAAGAATCAAATCAACACAAGAATCAAAGTACATTCAGTGATAAATTCATCACTGACAAACACATTCAGTGATAAATTTATCACTGATATATTTAATCCTTATTTGTAGCAGATTTAGTTTAAGATAAATAAAGAGGGAAAGGGAGAGGGAGAGAGATATATATATATATATATATATATGAAGAATGGAAAATCATAGTTGCTTGGAGTCGTTTGGAGTTGATTTCACCATAGAAAAACAGTTAGACCCGTGTAGATCTAGAATATTTGAGGTTGCCGAATAAAATGGTAGATAACGAGTAGTAAGGATGATACATTTGCGAAGGTGAACGTAGATCGGTAATAGTGGAGTGTAGATTGGAGATGATGGAATGTAAATCTGTGACGATAGAATGTAGATCAACGACGATAAAGGTTGTTAGTGAACAGTGACAGTGGATATTTGTAGGA